ACTTCTTGAAGATCGCCCTTCCTACAAAAATGAACAAAAGGGCATTTATAGGCCCAGCTGCAGTAGTGCACACTGGTTGATGCTGCTATTTGGCAGGTTGAAGCCACATGGGAGGTCTGGGTTTGATCACTCAGAGTGAGCTGGGTACATGGATGTGCACCTATAGCCCCAACTACTGGGGAGGCGGAAGCAGGATTGTTTTGTTAAGTGACAAGGGCCTGAACCTGCTTTGTCTTTCTGGACCAGGAGTGTGAGCTCCTTATCTAACCATACTGAACCCTATATATACTGTTTTTTTCCCCTATACATACATACCTATGATAATGTTTAATTTATGCATCAGGCACCATAAGTGATTAACACAATAGCTAATAATAAAAAGAGCAATTATAATAATGTTCTGCATGAAAAGTTATTATTAATATGGCTTCCCCTTCTCTCTCAAAATACCTCACTGTATGATACTCTTCTATTGTTGGATTGTGGTTGACCACAAGTAACTAAAACTGCAGGAAGTGAAATTGCAGAAAAGGGAGGATTACGGTACAAACCCTCCTCTACGTCTTCAATATACCACGCAACGGACAGCAGTCCACTCGTAAAGATCAAATGACAACTCCTCACTGTACCTCACTAACTGTTCAATGCCATTCCAAACTTTTGTTTGCCTCACATTTTGACATAGTTAAATAGTTCTCACCTTTTTTAAAGATAAATTTTGCCATAGGAAGCATGTGCTTAGTGGGGAAAGAGAGGGAGGGAGAGGAGAGGAGAAAACATCTCCCAAGGGGAACGGTCACACCGCAATCCCCTCTCCTCCCTCTCACCCTTCTTTTGAGATCTCAGGCACACGCACAATGCCCAGCATATTTCTTCAAGCACTTGGGTCTGAGACTTGATCTGCACAGTCAGCCATGTAGGATCCAGCCACCTTAACCACCACACCACAGGCTGGCCCACAATTGCCTTTTTCTTGTCAAATTGCCTTTTTTCTTTTCTCTTTTTATTTTTGTATATCACATTATCCAGAGGATCAGATTCCTTGTCTTGGTGTGTACTCTGTCACATCCTAATCTTTCCAAGTCTTCCTTCTAAGAATGTATAGTCCTCCTCTTTTCTTCTGACCTAGTGGTTTGCAAAAGCTGTTAAAATATGCATCCTGAATACTCCCTAATGCTGTCCTGGGAATCATTCTTTGTTAGCCAGATTCCATGTCTGTTTTTTGTGGGTTTTTTTGCCAGACCACTATTTTCTTCCAGCTATACTAGTCTTGAAATTGGTCAGTCTGGGTAGAACCAGTGATAAAGACGCTCTGGTCCAGTGTTTCTGGGTGGGGAAGGATACCCGAGGGGGTGACATGTGCACAGTCCTGAGACCAGGCTGGGGAATCAGAGGCTGAGAACACAAATGAAGCCTTGGTCACATCAAATGAGGATCCTCAGGATTTGACATATTTCCTGCCTTCGTCAGACGTGGTGAGATGTCATGTTTGGGTCCCGCTGTTGGAAATAGGGAACATATTACAACGACACTGAAAAGAAAGGGGAACTTGAAAAATAATTGAAACTCTAAAATTGTGAAGACAACAACTACTTTTATAAGTTATTCTGATTCATGACTTTAATAACTGAAAGAAATAGCAAGTATTATAATATTAAATCTGCATATTTTTGGAGGTGAATGCTTTTTGTTTGTTTTACTTTTGCTTTTGTTCTTCTCTGTGCTGAATTCATCCTGTGTCGAGACCATGCAGACACCAGAGGTTGATAAAGGGGCTGCCTCCCATGCCAAATGTAAGGACTAGGCTGGGAAGAAACTGTGAGCAAGGCCGGAAGTTTACACTCTCCACTGTGTTGCTGTACTGGCCTGCACTCCATTTCTCTGCCATGAGCTTGACTGATGGTACCCCATAAGGGCAAAATAACACCCCCAGCCTTACTGTAACTTTTACAGTAAAACCAACTAATAATCCTAAAAAGAATGCGAACCCCTAAAGTGGATGCGAGCACCGGCCTGGAAAATAATAAAGAATGCTGAAGTTCTTCTCAGAGCAGTCAAGCTGCTCACAAGACCACATTCCTTTCCCATGTAGACATTAGACTCACCCTCTTAGCTGTGGATTACCCCAGAGATAATATAGGTATTCCACTTTAGTATATATTAACCTTGTCTTTACTTTACCAGACAGGATTTATTTCTAGGCCCTTGTAACCAGCAATTTGCTGCCAGCCTAGCCTGAGGCTGAAGTTCTCAAGCTGACCTGGGGCTCAAGTTCTCAAGTCAATCTGGGAGTGAAGTTATCAAGCTGGCCTGGTACTGAGGTCAATAAGATTCCTGGGAGCCCCCTCATTCAAAAGACCCTCCCCGGTAATCAAGATCTAAGGAGAGAATGCACCAGACGAATGGACTTCCTCGTTCTAAGAATTACGACTGTTTATACCTAAACAAAACAGACATCATGTTTTATGATTATTGTTCCTATGCTTTGAATGCTTTACCTTTTGGAGTAAAATCTTTCACTTACTTCCCCTCACCCATCCTACTCCTGTAAAACTCCTTCAATAATAAATACATATGTCTCCTGGCCATCAGGGCTGCAGTCCTGAGCTTACTCTGGCTGTAGCCAGCTGAGAACATGCTAAGGGGCATTGAGGTCTCAGCCTGATTTTGTTCACCCGTGTTGCCTTCCTGTGTACCCACCTCTGCTGGAGCATGGTTTCTGGCAGTCCTGATTTGGGGTATTTGCATTTTTATAATCCCACTGTTTGTAATAATCTTTCTCTAAATCTCCATGTGACTTTCTTGTGTTAATTACATCACTGCTCAGCTGACAGGTCTTCCGAGAGCCACTCTGTGAGCACCTCTATTTAAATAAAGCCTTTCTTTTTTCTTTCCATGCTGCTTTATTTATTTGTTTTTGTTTTTTGTTTTTTTTTATTTTTAAAATTTTTTTGAGAGGTTTTTGCTATAGGGCGCATGCGCTCGCCAGAAAGACAGAGAGAGACAGAGAGACAGAAAACAAGAAATCACTCCCCAAGGGGATGGCCACACCACAATCTTTTCTCCTCCATTTTACTCTCAAGATCTTGGGTGCGCACGCACATGCACTCAGCTTGAGTTTCAGCCACCAGGTCTGGGACTTGAACCATGGTCAACTACATGAGACTCCAGTGACATAGCCATTATGCCAACTGCTGGTTCCAACAGATGCTGGATTTTGAGACATTATTGACGCTTTAGATATATTCATTGTTGAAAGGAGAGGTAAAATAAGAGGATCATACAAATTTAGAAAAGTAAGTTGAGAGCTTTAGTTCAGTCCATCTAGTTTGCAGTAAATGAGTAGAGTCAGGCCCAGAGACCTCCCAACTATGCCTGCTATTAGGAGGAGGAGGAGGAGGGTGGGAGCAGGAGGGCGACTGATGACTGTGTGGAGGACAAAAATGAAGTGCTGCTTTCTGCATGGGAACCAACCCCCCCCCCAGATTGACCAAAAGTACTTGTGGGTGCTGAGATAAATGGTTTCTGTGTGTGGGGGCGAGGTGGGGTGAGGTGGTGGTGGTGGTCCAGGTGTTGGTGTTGGTGTTGGGCCGGTGGCAATGGAGATGTCTTATGTCAAGAATTATTTCCATTTTAAAAATTTGTGTAAGAGAGAGGGGGGGAGAGAGAGGAGAGGAGAGGAGAGGAGAGGAGAGGAGAGGAGAGGAGAGGAGAGGAGCAGAGAGGAGAGGAGAGGAGAGAGGCCTGGAAGGGAAATCTAGTTTCGGTTTTTATTTTATTTTTTTAAGAGGTTTTTGCTATAGGGCTCCTGCGCTGGCTCTTCAGAAGGACAGAGAGGGACAGAAAGTGAGAAATCACCACCGCAATCCCTTCTCCTCCATTCACCTCTTGGGATCTTGGGTGGGAGGGCAGGCACGCATGAACGCATGCACGCACACAGGCATGCACACGTGCCCCACCGTGAATTTTGGTATTGTCTGTTGAAGATATTTCATAGTTTTATCAACAGTACTAGGGAGAGATGTTCACCTGTTGAAATATCCATTTTGTAAGACAAATAATAATGTGATCGAATGTATGGAAGAAAATGAAATGAAAAATAAATGAATAATTAAATAAGACCTATAACTAAAGCACCCGTCAGCCATAGGGTTCCTGTCTCTGTCCCCATCCCCACCCCACTCCCAGGCAGAATATAGCTCTCTGTATCATAAAGAAAAGTTTATTCCTTTGTTTTTAATTTGCTCTAGAGCACATGCACTCACCAGAAAGAAGGAGAAAGAGAGAAACTGAAAAAGTAACCCCACCCCAGCCCCATGGAGCATGGTCATAGAACAATTCCTTCATTTCTCCCTCTTCTTGGGATTTTGGGCACTCACGTGCATGTGCCCAGTGTGTTTTTCAAGCCATGAAGTCTGGGACTGGAACCGCCTGGTCAGCCATGTCGGATCCAGCTGCCTTAACCACCACACCACCAATTGGTCCAATATTCTTTTAACACCTCAGAACTCTTTTCAATACACAAAAGTGGGAACAAAGTGAAATAGTGAAGAAAATGATGTTTGGATAAAATCAAACTCCCCTGTGGTTTTCTGCATTAACAACTACATGTAATTTCAACACTGTCATCACAAGCTCATTAACAACTTCACATGGACAAAAATAGACCTTTATTCTATTTGCAGAGAAGTCTCACATCTGGAAATCCCTCTGGTTTGCCCACAAATTGTTAAAAAAATTGTTTGTAAACAAAACCCGTATTTTTCCCCTTCAGACTGTTCTTTAACTGAGACTGTTTTTACTGGAGGAAGTTAGGAAAAGAGAGAGAAAGAGAAGGTATGCAAGGGTGAGAATAACAAAGTTCCACTGTTCTCACCGGAGCAATTCTGGTTTACGACACTTTTTGGACTCAGCCCTTTACAAAGGTAGATCACTGCACTCAGCCCAGCATACCCAGGTAACCCCACAGAGCAGCTTCTGCAGTTCAGCGTGATATGGAAGGCACAGAGTGACCAGGTTGTGTCTTACAGATTCAGTGATGTCCAACGAAGTGACTTATGCTACTCTTAAATTTCCAAATACTTCTAAGACAAACAACCTCCAGGAAAACTACAGTCTCAAGAGAACAGGTGAGATCTGTGCAGGGTCAGACTGTTCCAGAGAAGGGAATAGTTAGCTGTTTCGGTGGGTTCTCCTGGTCTTCAACTCAAGGCTATTGGCTACTCTGCCATTTCAGCTCACTAGTGCTGCTGTTGAGGTATATAGATGATACAGATGTAGATATGGGTATACAGATATTTGCATTATCAGTTCTGGGAACCTGCAGACGAGCAGTGCCTTGAAGGAGCTACGGTCTGGAAGGCTCTCTTCCTCTGTCTTCTCTGGGTTCATGGAGTCACTATGCCAGACCTAGCTTTGTCTGTCTTTTTCAGTATGGAAGATAATCAAAGTGTATGAAACAAGGTTGTGATCTGAGTCTCTAGAATTCAAGATTCCTGGTGTCACCAAAATGCTCTTTCTTGTATTTTTTAAAGACATTTTAGGGTGGTCTCACATACAGGCTATGGGAGGGGATGGCGGTGGGGGGGATAACAGTAATACATTAACATAACCATCCAGGATTTTTATTTAAATGCTAAATATATGAAATACCATTGTTGCCATGATATTCATACAATCACAAGAACTTAGTAATGATCTAATAGATGTTTATTTCTTTCTGAAAAGGAATAAAGCTGAAGCTTTCTTATCTCTGCATAATATAATTTCAGTCTATTTTATCAAGCCGTTAAATTCTTTGAAAGTTAGAGATAGCAACGAGTCAGTAAGAAAATAATTTTTGGAAGAATAGAAATTACATTTAATATAATTTCTTTATTGCTTGGAATACACGATTCTTTGGACACTTTCTAGGATTAATTTTTGCTATTTATAATTTGTTATTTACATTATTTTGAGACTATTGTATTTGTTTTATTAAATTTATTATTAAGTAAATCTTTTAAATCTTAATATAAAATTATATCTTCTAGCTGTATATAGGCTTTTTATTTCTAATTTACCCCAAAAGTGTTTTATAGCCAAATGATAGAGAAAGCATTCCATAAGAATAAATTCTGCTTACAGAATCTTAGGATCAGGTTAGGGGATGGTTTTTTGGGACTAGATTTGCCAAATGGTGTCATCTCTGTTTCTATAATATCTCTCTGATGAAGGCAGTGTGTGGTGAGGGTAAGGTCCCACATCCTCACCATCCTGTTAGCATCATAAGCAACTGACATAAGGCACTTGTAAAATCGCACATGCAATTCATGCTCTGCCTTATATTTTCCGATGTATTGTTCTCCTTGCAAAACAATTTATCCCTTTATATACATCTGAAAAGATCATTAGAATTCCATCTTTTTAATAAAAGTCCACAAAGTTTTTATCTATAAAAAAAAAAATCTACCCTTAGATTCAGAACCAAGCCAAGGAATACTGGCAATACCCGAGTTGTTTGAATGTAAAAGAAAACTAGAAAAAAGGGTGATTTTGTTTCTCAATTTTACTTTCTTTTTTTCCTGAAAAGATAATGTGCCGGAGACAGAGATGGACAGCGGAGCTGAAATTGAACAAGGGGGAGTTGAGAGCAGAGTCGAGGAGGCAGAGAGCAGAGCTGTGAGAGGTAAGATATCTTTGAACACACAGAGCCCCTGGATGAAAACGAAACTGAGGAAGACCTTATGTACTACACTGAGGCATAATCATGAAAGAGTTCTTTTAAAAATAAAAAAAAAATAGGGCCAGCCAGTGTCATGGTGGTTAAGGCAATTGAATCTCACATGGAGGGCTGTGTAATTCCTGTCACAGAGCTGGAGACTTGAAAACCATGCTCGGTGTGTTTGTATGCATGACCAGAATCCCAGGAGGAGGGAAAAAAGGAGGAGGAGGAATTGTCACGTGACGACTACTCCCCATGGGGGGATATTCTCTTTCTCTCTCTCGCTTTCTCTTTTTCTTGCTTTCTCTCTCCAGTGATCCCTCTGGCAAATTAAAAAAAAAAAAAAAGATATAAAAGCTTTGAGAAAGGAAGGAAGGAAGATAAACAAAAGATGATGAATTAGTGTCCTTTAGTATTGGGAAATTTTCTTTTTGATTATCCATTTACCAGTTACTTAAAGCTTCAGAAGTTTTCATGTTCTTTCCAAATTTTTCTTATTGTAGAATATTAGATCTCATGGGCTTGCTCTCTCCCATTTTCGTCATTTTATCCTTTTATTACACATCAGGATAATTTTTTAAAAACTTATCTTTCAATTTTCCTATTAAAAATATGTGTGTTGCTATTTTATTTTCAAAACATTTTTGTTGTTTTCTCAAGGTTTCTGTTTATTGTAGCATTGTATTCTTTACTTGTAAGTTTATTTACTTTATTCATGCTGGAGAGTGCATGCATGCATATGAGAGAGGCAGAAAAACAGCGTCACAGACAGAGCAAGAGAGAGAAGCACCCTCCAGCTAGTCGGAATCCCGTGACTAGTTTCTTTCATTAAGCATAATGTTTTTGAGATTGATCCACGCTATGTGTATCGGTCATTAATTCATTTTTACTACTGGGTAATATTACAGTATGGATATAGCTAAATATGTTTACTCATTCATCTGTAGACAGGCATTTCAGTTGCTTTCCATTTTTAACTAGTATAAGCAAAGCTGATGGGCCAGCAAGTGATGTGGAAGTTAAGGTGCTGGATCTCACATGGCTGACTCTATGGTTCAAGTCCTGGACCCTGCAACTTGAAAATCACACTAGGTGCATGTGTGTGAATGCCCTAGAGACTGGAGGGGAAAGGACTGTAGCAATGGCCATTTCCTCTGAAGAGCTACTTCTCTAGTGCACATGCCCTGTAACAAAAACTAAATAACAATAGTAATACATTTTTAAGGTACAATAATATGTAAGTCTTTGTATTGACATATTTTTTTAATTGTACCAGGTAAATAGGAGTAAAATTCCAAGTTCTATGCAGTATGTTTAACTTTAGGAGAAAATATAAAGAGCTATTTCCTACCTTTATATTTTCATCAGCAATTAAGAGAGTGCCAGATTCCAGAATTTTTCAAGTGTTCTCATTGTGTTAGCTCTGCTTCTTCTAGATTCGATTTCTGGTTTTGCTTTGTCTATTTATTTGCATCTTAGTTTGCTCAGGCTGCTAGAACCAAATACTTTAGACTGGGTACTTTATAAACGATGGAAGTCTATTGCTGACAGTTCTGGAGGCTGGAACCTCCAAGTCCAGGTGCCGTCGGACTCATATCTGGATGGTTCCTTCTTTCTGTGTCCTCACATGGCTAATGGTCGAAGGGACAAACATGCTTCCTCAACATCTTTATAAGGGCATTATTCCCATTCATGAGGGCTCACGACTTAATCACTCCCAAAGGCCCCACCTCTTAATACCACACACATCAATTATTAGGCTCTAACATGAATTTTGGGAAGACACCAAAATCTAAACCTTGACTCTTTGTTCCTTTTTTTTTTTTCCTCTTTAGTCTGTTATGTTAGGAGCTTTCTTCAAATATATGGTAGTCTTTTTTACCTGCATACATTTAAGAGCATGACATAAACTAATTTAAGAGGCCTCAGTATTTAAGAGATGAGTTCGTTAAATGGTTGCCTTCACGAACTTGGAAATTTACCTAATAACTCAATTGTCAATATTTGCAGGAAAAGTTTTTTTTTTCTTTTCGACCAGTTAATTCCCCCACAGATAACTCCTTAAACGCACTGCTTTTATCAGAATGGATGAAGAGAGGATGACTCTGTTGTATAAAGTTGGGGGAAAAAATAGGATATGAGAGAGTCAGGTTTTTCCTCAGTTTTCAGCCTCACCCATACCTCCATTTGGAAAGATACGGCACCATGTATCATCAACTCATGGGGCTTTGGGGGTCTCAAAGGAGATGTGCCTTGTTTGTTTCATTTTTTTTTTTTCACTGCTGAGTTTGGTTCAGTTTTCTAAGAGCCTACAAAGTTACTAACAACTTTTGTATCTGCTATCTACCTTCTGACATGTCATTTTGTGATTTCCTTTCTATTTATTATTATGAATTTAAGATTTTTTTTTTTTTTTTTTTTTTTAGAGGTTTCTGCCTTAGGGTGCACACACTTGCCAGGTGAGAGAGAGAGAGTGAGAGAGAGGCAGTGAGAGGGAAAGTGAGAAATCATCCCCTAAGGGAGATAGCCATGCTGCAATCCCTTCTCCTCCCCTCTCCTCCTGGGATCTTGAGAATGCACGCCCAGTATGAGTTTCAAGACACCGAGTTCAGGATTCGAACTATGGTCAGCTATGTGGGAATCAGAAATGTAACTGCTATGCTATCTGCTGGCCCCATGAATTTAAGCTTTTTTAAACCCCTCTTTCTACATGTTATTGGTTTTTTAAGGGAGAAAAAAAAAGTGAAAGAATGATATCTGTGTATGCCAAGTAATTTCAGATGGATGTTTTTTAATCAACATTATAATCAAGCCAAGTGAACTTTTAACTTGCCCTTCTTTCCATTTCATGTTATCAAATATTTCCCCAAAATGAAGCAACCATTAGGGTTAGCAACTAGAAAGGGCATTGACGGTATGTATATGACCCAAACTCAAGTGATTCCATTGGAGAGAAGAGGTGGTGAATTAGTTTACCTCTGTACGGATTTGGATCCTAGAGATTAGTAGAAAGAAGGCTTATGATAAGATTCAGAACACTCTTGTTCTTATAAAGTGCTTTGTCTCTTAAGATCTTCAGACCTTTTAAAGTAAAGGTGGTGCCAACCTTCTTGTTTGGTGCTAAGATTTACTGGCTTTCTTGGTCTCAGAGGATTAGCTAACTAGGTGGGAATAGTGAAACGTTCCTCTGGGATCCATCTGCGAAGACATTTGACCAGATTTCTTCTTCACGACACCGAACTAACAGGTTATCTGGTGTAAAAACTTCAGTAGATGAGATGAGAAAGTGATAATCATTATTATCCTACGGGATGTTTGGGAATATCACATAGAAAAAATTATCTGAAAATTATAAACAGATAAAAATCATGATGGATTTGAAGAATAAAACCACATGGGAACCAGCAGTTAGCGTAATGGCTATGTCGCTGAACTCCCACGTAGTCAACCGTGGTTCGCATTCCGGACCCGGTGGCTTAAAACTCACGCCGGGCGCGTGTGCGTGCGTGCCCAAGATCCCGAGAGGAGAATGGAGGAGAAGGGATTGCGGTGTGACCATCCCCCCCTGGGGAGTGATTTCTCGCTTTCTGTCTCTATGTCTCTCTCTGTCTGTCTGGCGAGCGCACGCGCCCTACAGCGAAAAACTTCTCAAAAAAAAAAAAAACAGGCAAAAAGAATAAAACCATATGATCTAATATGTGAATAATAAGATCCCAGAAAGAGAAAGAAAAAAAATGATACAAGCAAAAACAAAACAAAACAAAACCAAAACCTGAGGAATAATTAAATTGGATATCATCTAGTACTGAATGTATGAAGAAAAATGTAATAGTCATTCAATAACACTGAATTCTGAGAAGATAAAATTCATTCATGGTAGCAAAATAAAAAAAATTATCATATACTTTGTGTGAGAACAATATACAATACAATTTCTAGGTAAACTATGATTAATTAGTCCTCAAAATAAGAAATTGAGAGAAGGGAAAAAAAGGGTGATAGAGGGCCCAGCAGATGGTATAATGGTTACATCCTTGGACTTCCATGTAGTCAACTGCAGTTCAAGTCCTGAATCTGGTGGCTTAAAACTCCCTCCGGGCACTTGTGTGCACATGCCCAATTTCGGAGAGGAGAATGAAGGAGAAGGGATTATGGCACAGCCAACCCCCAGGGGTGATTTCTAGCTTTTTGTCTTTCTGTGTCTGTCTGTCTGGTGAATGCACATGCCCTATAGCAAAAATCTCTCCCCCCAAAAATAAATCATTACTTTAACCAAAAAATCTAGAAGAAATTTGATCAACTCTCAGTAAAATCTAGGTTTAGTGGTAGAAGAAAGGTAGAGGAATAAAAGTATTATAAAAGTCCGGTTTCAAGAGTGGGAGCTGTAATTATATAATAATGTTATATTGTTGTAAATCAGAAGTGAATAATTAGAGCACTTTAGTTGAGGGATTTAGGTTAGTGTGCTATTTGATAAAATTAAAGAGATATATGTGTCTAAGGGTTAGTAACTAGTATAAGAACGAATCTTTAAAAACAAAGCTTGCAATTAACTAAGGAAAATACCAATTAAATATAAAGTAGACTGATCAGAAAAATAGTATGTTATGTAATGATCAGATACAGAATTCATGAAGTAAATCTAAGAACCATAAACTTGTATGCATCAAATAATATAGAGTAAATATATAAAGGAAAAATTATTAGAGATGGGAGAAGAGTTGCATTTGAAATTCAGAGATTGTAATGCATCACTTTAATTACTATAAAATACCTACTGAAACTTTGATAAATATTGAATGAAATAAATTATCCAATACTTAAAGTAATATCGCACATGTCCAAAATCCTGAAAGGAGAACGGAAGAAAATGGATTGCTGTATGGCCACTTCCCGTGGGGGGGGGTGGAGGGGGGGTGCTTTCTCATTTTCTTTCTCTCTTTGTGTCTATCTGCCTCTTTCTG